TCAATTTTTAGAATATAATTTGGTATTTTTCTGGTTCTGGAATGGAAAACCCCTTGCTGAGAGGAGTACTTCCAGGGGCAAGGGGAGGGACTTCTGATGGGAAAGGTCAGGAGTTAAGGGGATGGAACTTCTAGGCACAAGATGGTGACCAGGGGGTAGGGCACCTGCCAAGGGGCAAGGTTACCCATGTGACCCTCAACAGCTTGCCAAAACTCAGTAAGCGGCCCTCCACCCAAAATAATTGTCTGCATAGTCATGTAAGCACATTGGAACACTTTTAGGCTGGTTCTTCTAGGTCTAAATGCAACCACAGCATCAATGAATGTAACTTTCTTACCTTTTCGTTTATTCAGGAGGGGCTCTGTCTAAGATTTGGCATTTTAAAGTTTGATTATTACTTTTAATTTCAGAAGAGGGGATGCGATGTGGTGGTTATCCTTCAGGAGTTGTGTTGTATTCTTGGTTCTGTCACAGTTTTTTGGTGTAACCTTAGGTGAGTTTCTTAGCATTAGGAACAAAGGCACAAAGTTCAGACAGGGGCTAATGCTTCCTTTTTCTTTTCTATTTAGATTTGACAATCTTCCCCTCCCCGTCTTGTATATACCCTTTCTTGTATGGTATATGGATGGCATCTGACTTTTTGTGGGCTTTAATCTCAGTTGAAGCCTGATTTCTGCTGTAATCAAAATGTTACCAAATGTCAACTGTACCAAATTAGCAATCTGTATTCCCTTGTTGCATACTGTAAAACATGACTTGATTGTTTTCCATCCTTGTCCGTACAAAACTTCAGGGTTAACCTGAAATTTTATAATATGTTTATTTTTCTTAAATGAAAAAACAAACAAACAAAACCCACCCAATCCATATTGATGGGGATCTACGGAAATTGAGATTTCATGGATTTTGCAAAATTGGGCTTGCCTGCAAATTCCATGGGGGGGGCACCATTTATTGGAAAAAAAAAATACTGGCTCCGTAGGGGGATTCAGCAGGCCAGTGGGGCAGAGAAGGTTGGGGGAGCGGTTTACCCCTTCAGAAGGCTGTCAGCAAGATAGCTGCTGCCCTTTGCCTCTGGCTGGGAGGCTTGGCTGTCATGTGGCCCCTCCCTTCTCCACCAATTGGCAGCAAGGGGCAGAGCCACATGACAGACAGCCCTTGCAGCCAGTTGGTGACAAGGGGCATGGCCACTGGGGCTTCTTGGCCAATCTGCTCCCCCACCCCTGACACTGCTTACACCATGCTCTGCTTGCAAAATACTGGTCAGGCCCTGTGTTCTGCCCACAACATTAGGGGTCAGCCACCCCTAATTTAATAGGTCCCTACTTAGTGCTAAATAAAAGGATCTCTTAATATTAACAAAATGAGTCTGTTACCCCTTTACAGACAGGTGTTTTTCCCCAGTGAAAGGAAATTAACCCTATTAATTGGAGACTTGCTATCTTGGGTATCTTCAAACTTGCAAGTTACCTGAGTAACTGACCTTTTCCTTCTATGATGATCTTTGCTGCAATAAGAGTATTATTTGTTGCCTGTTATCTTATAGGGAGAGTGTGTTGCAGAAATGAGTGAGGTTTTTAAACTTGTATGTTTACTTGGAAAAACTACCTGCGTCTCTGCATTTATGATGACCTTGATGGATTAGGAAGGGAAAAAGCAAAATGAATACAGTTGTACTGTTTAAAAATTATGAGCAAGATAAATTCCATAGGATGATGATCTTCTGTTTACTAAAAATTTTTCCTTAGCCTGTTCAGTGGAGTTATAATTTGTGACTTGTTGCTACACAGGCAGAGCTCTGTTGAGGAAATTTGAGGAAGTCCTCTAATTTGATTCAGCTAATTTATTTAATCTCTGAACCATTACCAGTTTGTCTGAGAACTTAAGGACTGGAGAGGTTCTAGAAATTGATCAGGGGAAAAAAGGTGCCTAATTTTTTTTAAATGGGATAAAGGAGTAATTAATTACCTAATACTATAATGAACAACTTCTGAGATGTAGACTCAAGTCAGTCAGCAACTACATCAGCTACTTCAAATATTCCCCAAATAATAAGCAATAATATAGTGTATTGCAATAGTATTTATTGAATGGCTACGTCCATGCTAATATTAGCTGTAAGTATTGATTTTTTTTTTTAATTTTTTTTTGTACTCATGATCAGACATGGCTAGGAAGTTGTAAATTCATGCTCACGTCGCTGGCATAAGCTGTGAGCCTCTCTTTTTTCCTGATTCTGTCATCACCTTTATCTGGAGTGCCCATCTTCCAGAAACTGGTCAAAACTACCCTGTGGCCAGTTATTTAATTTAGTCACAGGCACCTGATAGTACACTTACTTTGGCTATTTATTGGTTTATCTAGAGCAGATCATGTAAACCAGGGGAGAAGGGGGGTGGTTACTGTGGGCCAAATCTG